TTTTTTTTTTTTTTTTTTTTTCGCGCGGCGCGTTCGAATTCAGCTAAAAATATACCTTATTCCTAATCTACTACTACCATCTTAAACCTGTTGTCTTTGCTTGGCTCTGCATTTTTGAGAGTACACAAGCAGTGTAATCACCGAAATCAGTTTGAAACCATCAAATAAGTCAATATAAAGCCCCGGGGGGAAGGACTCCCATGTCAAAAGGACGGGGGTGCGCGTCAGAAATTTTGAAAAGAACTCTAAGAGCTACCAAGGTCCTGTTTCGTGGGCGTGGCTTGAATATTTTCTCACTCCTTACGGGTACCAATTCTAAAACAAAACAGTAACTGACACCTTCAATTATTTTTAATAGTGATAAAGACGATTGCATCAAATACCTTCTACTCGTAAAGCTGATCTTCAAATGTCTCCTGTAATGTTTTTTTCGACTCAGTCACCTGAAAGGTACCGCGAAAACTCCCGCTGTGGGCCTTTTAAGGCTGAACACCCCAACAGGAATCAAAACCACTTTTTCAACCACTAAAGTACGATGAGCACCCCCGTCCTCAGTTTTTTATATGAGAATCCCCTTCCAGGTATAAAGCATACTGCTGTAACATAAATCGCCTTAAATCGAAGGGGAGAAAATAACTTCTTTTTTGACCGGCTTCTTATAAGTTTCTTTCTCTTTTGTTTAACTGATCAAGTTAGATTATTTTCAATGCCTTCATTTTGGCGTTGTAAAAATACGGACAAGGGCAAAGAGGAGGAATACTACATTCAGTGAACAACTTTTAACTGAGATGCAATATAGTCAATATAACTGATTAGTGGCGGATCCAGACCGTGTGCTAAAGGGGGGAAGGGGGAGGGCATGGGGGAAGGGGGAGGGCATGGGGGAAGGGTTGCTTGCCCTGCCGGCTTTTCTTCCTTCTGCGATTTTTTTTTTTTTTACTCAAAATAAGGGAGGGCGGGCCTCCCGGGCCCCTCCCCTAGATTCACCACTGTTGATCGACTTTGTAGTGATCCTTCTGACGAAAAAATGATCGAACAACAGTTTCGATGTTTTCTGAAAGATTAACTGGTTAATATAGAAACAAAGAATCTAGATTCTGCTCAGTTTTTAAGAGGAGTTACTCAAAATGGCACGTTTGCCGGACCCAAATGATTAATTGCTAGCGAATCAACAACTGTTTATTTTCTTATTTAGTGAATATTATGTACCAACATGTCGGAACACTACCACCGCAGCAGCTGAATCATCTGAAGAGGTTGCTACTGACATGGCTTCCTCTGCAACTGGGTTCATGTTCCCATATACCTTTGGCCACTTACGCTCCTTTCATTCAAAACTCGAGTCGAATGGCCTGCAGTGTTGACTGCAACCGCAAGTTTTCCGAGCGTATTTTTCAATTCCTGCAATATTCAAGGCAAACGTCCAAGCTGTTCGGCTCACAGGGCTGCTCTAATGACAGAAAACGATTTTACTTTCCAGCATTTTCTTTAAGATTTGTAGATTTCGTAGTTCAATTCTGCTTTCGCTGTAAGTTTTGATTATTCTGCGAGTAGCGACGCTCGATACAAGTTGACAGTGGCGTGATTATCTTGGACCAATCACAATTCTTTTGCTACGCATAGAAACCAATGAGATTTAAGGACGGTGCCTACTTTTGTTAGTGCGCACACGTTCTGCGCATCACGCAAGCCATGGTTTAGCGTCACCCGCGCGCTGGGGTTGACATGACGCAATCAACTACGCTACCAAGTACACAACTAAAATGAAAGTAAAATTCTCACTGTGACCAAATCAAGGTTAATGAACCTGTACTTAAACCAGGAACACTAGAATAGCAGCACATCGCTAACCTCTAACTGTTAACGTCTTCCAGCCGAAAAACTAGCTGTTATCTGTCGAAAATGGCCGTCGATAAAACCAGGAACGAAATCTGGAAATAAGGGACAGTCACGTGATTAAACTGACGGCGAACGACTGGAAGGAATGGATTACTCTTCTTAGTTGC